GGGGTACGGGGAGACGTGGGTCACGACAGGCGTGAACCATGGGCGAACGCGAAACACGAAGCCATAGTGCAGACCTAACTCTAGAACAGGAACAAGTCCGTCGTGCACAATACGACACGCGTGACACCTTTGGATGGCATATAAGCAATATGGCACTACAATGCACAAACAAGATATGCATGAATGCACGTCCTATACGTCCTTCCACTGTTGCCAGCATATAGGGCAGCCGTTCTCAGATTTTTGGCACATCGTTTTCTCCCTGTAACTAGTCGATACTATCGGACTATGCTCGAGTCAGTGTACCAGCAGAAAACTTGATTAAGTCTACCTAAGTTAGCAGAGTGTCATCTATCCTGGATACATAACCATAGTAATAGGGCTACTTATATAACTTCGCATACAAACGTCCTAACTTTTTGCAAAAATGGGTTGTCAAATTTTAGTTTAGAAAAGGTTTTCGAAGCTTTATTTCCTCATTTATGCTCTGATACCACCTGTGGCAGAACCGCCTAATCTAATGCCTCACAGAAGTACTTGTCTTCCATTAGACACTAAGCACTCAAGGGAGAACACTAAATTACTCGGTTTCGTCGGGCAAACCCCAGGGGAGAACCCGAAGATCCACATTTTTGCAATCAGGATCACAAATGAGAGAATAAAGCTTACATCATTCCTAACCATTTCTTACATCACTTTTAATACAACATCAGAGTATAATATTTCTTATTATAGCAACGGAATATAATCATATTATTAGAGTTATGAACAATTTAATGTAACAGCAGAATATAAATATGTGATCAGAATTACAAGGGAAATAAATATCTAATCATGACATGATGAAGTATTGTTATATAAACTATGACAACAGATTATGAAACTTTCCTTATGAAAGCATTTGGTGAGAGTTATAAATAACAACTACGATCGCAGCGTAAAGGAATCCACACACAAAGGTCAGCTTTAGCCTCCACCTGTCACCTGCAACAGGGGGAATAAAACCCTAAGTACTCAATTGTACTCAGCAAGACTTACCCGACAGGAGAAAAGAAAAGACTCCAAGGATATGCAAGGCTATCTGGCTTATGGGTTTATTGCATTTGCAGGAAGCATTACTAAGCGTGCGTCCTTATATTCGATTTTTATTTATAGCCGCATTGGTTCATTAACTAACCATTCTATGTAAGCACCTATGCTACTTTCAAGCAGGTGGTAAGCAATCAGATTTCTCTTTTCCATCTTCCATCTTTCATCTTTCAGTTCTTACTACGATGCTAAACCGTAGACAAGCCGTACTGGATTTCCCGACGATTTGCGAATCAATGCCCCCAGCTGGGTACCCCAAAAACACAAGCCCCGCTTGTACCCCAGGCATAAGCAGGACCAACCCATCATTCTCCTGTCCTGGGTGTCTAGGTCCCCGTCCAAACTGGGACTCCAAGCCCCTGCCCCTGAGTTCCAGACTCAATGCGGTGCAAGGACCTCCTTTACCAAAATAAAACCCTGACAGTCGGTCCGAAAAGAGCCAGATCCGTGACAAGAGAGCAACAAGCCTTCCAAGCACCCATACACAAGTATGTGCTCGGGATAATAAGTCTATGACTTGCCTAGAATCTTATGCAACGGCCGGTCCTTAACCGACCAGACAGGGAAAACAGTGTAACCAAGCTATGCCCCGCGTCCACGGCGACACAACCTCTTACACCCACCAATACCCAAACCATATCCCTGTCCGGTCACCATTTTTCCTTTCCACCATTTATATTTTCCAAGTTAATAATACAGTATTATAGTTCCTATCTCTCGCGAGTGACAGGCAATCACTCGACTTCTATCGGAGTCCTGTAGCATAGCAATCTACACGATCATGTCATACTAGTAAGACTCATAGGATAAAGATATATATATATATATATATATATATGCAAGTGGGTTTCATTCAACTTCTTAAAACTTAATGCACAAATATAATTTAAACTGCAGCAAAATAGGGGTTATGCACCGGGGCTTGCCTTCAGCGGGCACGGTGTCAGCAAAGTCAGTGACGGGCGGCTCCAGAACGTCCTCCTGCACGAGGATCTCCTCCTCGTACTCTTCAACGACTTTGTCGTACTCCTGCTCGCCCGTAGTCACAAACTCTACCAACTCGTTATCTACATGCATGAAATGATGATGCAACGCTTAGTAATACGACAACAACAACTCTTAAAATAAGAATACATCTACCAAACTACTAACCTAACTCTAATGACTAATACGCAAAATTACCTATTATTCCCCACTAAACAGGTATGAAACATTTCATGTATTATCTTAGCAACTAAAGACATCCTTATTGTTAATATCAATTTACTATATATATGATAAAACAAGGTGCACTAGCTACCATATTTATCAACCTATTCTAAGACCACAAAAAATTACAGTAAGCACATAATAATACAATGAACCTACTGTAAAAGAATTTTAGGGCTAGCACTTCTACCAATGCATCACAAAAATTTTCATTCTCTAAATAACCATAATACTAACAAGCAACCTAGAATTAATAAGTAACCCTAAAACATTACAGAACCATACAAACTAATTACACTAACAGATAGATCATGAATTTAGGAATCTAACAAAATTTATTTCGCAATAAATAAATAAATTCAAATGAGCTCTAGAGATGAAGAAAATGATATTATCGGAGGAGGCTAATCATGCTATTGGACTTGTTGACCAGCACGTGACTGTGAGTCTAGAAATAATGAAGAAGAAGAATGAAGAAATCCTTACAGGTTAGCTACCTCGGTCGATTACAACTCGAAGAGGGAGATCGGCAGAGCGCAGCCTTCCCAGGCAAGAACAGAGGAACTCGATTTAGAGAGTAAGATGGTGAGCGGCGGAGTGGGACGGCTCGGCGGGCTTGGCGTGTCCTTTATAGGCAGGGGACGCGAAGGCTAGAGGTGGAGCTGGCATTTGGCTAGCTGGTCATGTGAATTGGATTTCACGTGATGGACTTGGAGTGGGTCTTTGGTCATGAGTGAATTAATTCAAATGATGGACTTTGAGTGGTCTTTGGACTTAACGAGGACATCAGGACCAGAGTGTGCTTTGGGCTAAACGTGCTTGGCGGTGGGGTGCTGGTTCATTCATGCAGGTCAAGGAATTAATGGGGGAGGAGACCACAGGTCAAGGAAACATTAGAGAATGAGAAGATCAATTGTAGACTAGCTACTTAAGCTGATTATTGTAGCTCGGGAGAAATCAATAGACGTAGCTTTCACGGGCAAAAATAGAGAAACTTGATTTGAGATAAGCAAGTGAGCAGCGGAGCGGAACGGCTCGGCGTATCCTTTTAAAGGCAGGAGACGCGAAGGCCCAACAGCGACGCGTCGTAAGATTAGCGGCTATCTAGCTTGCTTAAAGGTAATAAAGCGCTCCCTGTGCACGACGTGATGCTCGGATGAACAGTTTTTCTGCGGTGAACAGTGTTTTCCACGGTGAACAGTGGCTTCTTCGTGTTACAATGATTCTGCGGGTGAGCAGTGCCCCCGCGTGCAAGACGTGCAAGACACAGTGAACCGTGTTTGGATTTCAGGTGATGGACTTGAGTGGTCTTTGGTCTTTCGACGTGTCAACTGGGTTAGTTGATTCATGATGGACTTGGACTCGAGTGTGCCTTTGTCGTGTCAACGGGGCTGATCAGCAATAAAGAGTGTATGCGTGCTAATTAAATTAAGAAGGGAGAAAGAGAAGATCATTCGTAGACTAGCTCAAGATGAACAAGCAAGGAGACGCGTGCGGGCTCGGTTACTTCTTAAACACGACGGCAGGACGGCTAGGCCCAACGTGACCGGCAGGGCGTACCGGTTGGCACGGACAAGACCGCGGCCACAGAGACAAGCAAGGCAGGCAATCAGAGAAACAGAGACAAGCAGTGAGGGAGGAAAAACAAGAAGCGGCTCGGCAAATGTAGACAAAAGTAATCAAGTCAGAGAGAGAAGCAAAGCAAAAGCCAAGGAGCATGGATGCGGATGGATGAGGAGACTTTGCAATGCAACGAATTGCAGGGCCACGATGAGAACGAGACAGTGATCAAAAGTAATGCTAGACGAGTACGTTGCACGCTGGAAAAATAAATGAAGTTGTTGCGCTCTCTTTCTCGTCAGTTCGTGCTTAACAAAATAAACCCGCGAGTTTAAATATATATGTATCGTTCTATTTATTAATGGATTTTATTTTATTTATAAAAGTTGGTTTTCATGCTTAATTTAACCGAACAAACCGTTTGTTAGAATCACCGTCGGACATTCCTAAATATTTCTACGCACTGAGTAATTTAACTTGGGCGTTTATTCGAGTCCATAAAACTGGGTCACCGGATTCGTTTATCGCCTCAAGTACATTTTAAACTAAAAACACGAGAAACTCGTTTTGAAAATTTTGCGTATGTCTAAATCACGGTGCTAAACGAGATCGTAACACCAGGGATGTTACAGTTTAGACATGTGCAATGGAGATCTCTAAAGGCATCGGTGCGTAGTGGAATCCTAAACTATGATAGTAACGTGATTTGTTGCGAGAGAGAAAGCACTGTTTCGGTTAAAAAAATAAGCTGAAAAATACGGATTATAAGAGAAGCGAACCGGACTCGGTAACGAGCCATGAATTCTGAGTGTACCTACAGAACCTAAATCAAGTAGTATAGGAAAAGAAAAATTACGCAAAAAAAGGAAAAGGAAAACAACGGGCGTCTTGGATGACTTCTTCCCCGGTCAACAAGATAAGCACAGGTGCTGTCCTCTGCTCTCCGTCACCGCGCGCGGCCCTCTCCTTTGCCCTTCTTCCCCGTTTTCTCCCGCGGGCCGCGGCCGGCGCCTCCGTGCCCGTGCGTGCCTTTCCCGCAATCAGCGCCTCCTCCCCACCCGCGCCCCCCCCCCCCCCCCCCCCGACCGCGCGAGGGAGATCAAACACGGAGCCCGCCCGTCTCTCTCTCCAGCGCCCTCGCAATGGCAGGCCTCGCTGCCACCGAGCAGGAAAAGGTCTGGCTGGTGCGGCGCGTCGCCCGCGCCCTCAACCGCCGCGTCACCGACATCGTCGCGCTGCTCTTCAGCCACAAGGTAAAAGCAAAGTTGGTCCCCGTGGCTCGCCCTTCGCGCGCCCCCTAACCCTAGATACTGACCGTGTCGGGGGTGCGTCCGTGTGGCTCCGCTTTGATTCCCAGGGAGCTGGATCGCTCGGCGCTGTCGCGGGGTTCGCCATCGCCGTCGTGTTCGCGTGGAAGTTCCTGCGACCCCGCAGGCCTGCTCCCAAGCGGCCCCACCTACCCCTGCAGCGGCTCCTGCTGCGACTGTGCCTGATGCGGCCGAGCCTATCGGTGACTCAGGCAAGGTAGGCTAAGAATGGAATGATGATTCCTGGTATTGTTGATTGCTGCGGCCGGTTAAATTTGTAACGACAAGTTTGTGTTTGACAGGTAGTAACACGGGAAATTGTGGTGAAGCGACTGAGAGGGTGCAGAAAGGTGTGGCTTCTTCCATCGCACCTAAGTTTGTCTTTCAGAAGAGCGAATGTGCATGCAACTTGGTGTTCTTCAGGGCTATTCCTAGTTTAAAAGGAAGACAATGCACCTTTGGAATAAATTTTCCATTCAATAATGCTGATAGGTTTGTTTTCAGGTAACCGTGTTAGTAATGAAACATTTTAAGGGATTTGTCTTAAGAGGCTGAAGAAATTAGCAGTTGAACACTGCAGTGATCTAATTTGACACGACCTTCCTAAATCTTGGCACTGCTTTGGATTAATAAACTCTGTTTGTCGTATCACGTAATTCACCGAATCTCATAAAAATTGCTTGTGCAGGTTACGTGCCAACTTCTCGGTGTTGTTTTTGAGGAGAAAACTCCTGAGGAGCTTCAGGTGTGACTAGCAATGCTCGTCAAGTTTGTATCTCTTGCATAGTCGCCTATCACCAAAGCTAAACCTTCTGCTATCCATCTTTGATGCAGGAACATGCTACAGTTAGACCCTCCGTGGTAGAGTTACTACTGGAAATATCCAGATATTGTGATCTCTACCTGATGGAGACTGTACTTGATGACAAGAGCGAGGTATTAATTTCTTAGTTCACCCTTACATTTATTTGCAGTTTTATATGTTATATGAATGGTTCTGTAATTCAGAGTGACTAATGGAAACTGTAGGAGAAGCGCTCTCATGGCCCTAGAGGCCTCTGGACTTTTCAGAACTGGTGGCCTGATGAAAGAGAAGGTGACAAGTTCAAACTAAAGAGTGTTGATTCATCATAGTTCATTTACCTTATTGCTCATCATAAAACTTGAACGATACTTCCCCCTGGAGTCCTGATTATTATGTCTATTGCACATAGGATATATAGCATATAAATATCATATATATAATAAAACGGCTGATAGTTGGTACTTGCACCTTTTTTTAAAAAAAATGTACATGGACATTGAAAGTTCTAGTGGCACTCAGCATATCAGTTCTACTCATCGTACAGAATATTCAATTATGTTTGACGGATGAAATAATAGTTCCCCTTGCCCATAGTTAGGTCATATGTGTTTCTCTTTATCGACTGGTATCTGGTAATGCTTAGATTGTTTGGTTGTGTTTTACTCTATCTGTTTCTGTCACCTTCATTTGACTTCTAGCGAAAACAATGTATATGCTTTTCAGGTGCTCTTTTGCGGCACTGAAGTTGGTCGAACTTCATTTGTTCGACAATTGGAGTCAGATTTTCACATAGACACGAACCTTGACATAGTTTCTCAACTATCTGTATGTTATCTTGTATCTTATTTATTTCTGGAGCAGGGGTTTCTTTTGATATACATATGTTAACATTTTCCCTCCGTTAATTATCAGCGGTTCATTCGATGCCAACTATTTATTTCCACGGTGGAAGGAGAACAGCTTGCAGGCAACATATTCAATTCTCCAAGTCTTGAGCAGTTCTTCTCTTGAAGGCGGGGCGCAAAGAAAGGGCTTCTGTACTCCAAACAGATGTGCTGATTTAGCAGCACAGTTGTGAGTTGCCACGCCCCCAGCCAAGGCATGGACGAAACAGCCACAGTACTCTTATAGGAGTTAACTTGTGATCATGCAAGATTGTATATTAAGCATAGACAATAAGTTGATAAAAAACATTCTTATTTATTTATTTATTTATTTATTAATTATTTCTAGTAAAATTACATGGAAAAAAATAAGGGGGTGTTTGGCACAGCGCCTCCTGAGGGGCTCCTTTGGAGGAGCTAGAGCCGTTTTGGAGAAGCCACAATTTGTTCCTCCTAAAAAACGGCTCTGGCCCTTCTCCAGAAAAACGTTTGGCGGGGCTTCTCCGGAGGAGCCGGAGCCGGAGAAGAGTCCTGCCAAACATGCTCTAAATACCTAAATATCGAAGCTACTCCTGTAGGTATGTCTAGCCGTCTTCCTTTCCACGTAGCTTATAAGTTGAAAAAAGATGTCTAGTCCTCTTCCTTTCCACTAACTTAAGCTGAAAAAGATAGTTAAAACAGGACTTAAAAGCTGAAAAAAGATAGTTAAAACGGGGGATGAGTATGATACTCGACAAACAGGTGCTACACATGACTATAAGTTTTCCCAATCCGGAAATCACTGGTAAAATTTCACGCTTTCATAAGATTTCCCAATCCGGAAATCACTGGTAAAATTTCGCGCTTTCACTATAGAGGATGTCACGGTATTGGAGCTTGTAGGAACAAGGTGAGTACTACAGTATTAAACTGATTTTTTTTTTTTTGCAAACATCTTTTTATTGACTAAATAATTTTTAAAAACGTTGAATGTATACATCAAAATTGTTGAGTTAGATAATGAAAAGAAAGATGCCGTTGTTACACAAAATTGATGAAAGAATTAAACATAATAAAGTAACCACAAAGATTACAAGGGAAATATAAAGAAAGAATGGAAAATAAAGAAAAATGGCTGATTATTTCCCACGAGCTAGGCTGCTCATATATCCATATCCGTAGGCCTGATGCTCCCCGTTGGCATACGTGGCTGGTCCATTACTTTCTCTTCCGTTTTGTATCATACCCGCTAAGGCCTCGTTTAGGTGCAAAGTGTTTTATTATTATTGGATAAACAGTTAAACACTGTGGTCTGTAAAATACTTTGGTTTTTAGAAGCTATTTGGTGTTTGGATACAACAAACTCTGTAGTCTCTCAAGCACAATTTTGCATGTTGTAGGTCTATAAAACGAATAGTTTATTGATACCACAGTTTTCTAAAGTTAAATCATCCAAACATGTCCTAACTTTTATTTTTCGCACTGACCCATTAGGTGTACACATGTAGAGCCACTATGCTGGATCCGCCCCTGCCGTATTTATAGATTTCCAGATAATTGGAATGGATCGGATCTGGTGAGGAAGCACTTCACCTTCATTGAGTCCCAAGAGAACACAGCCTTGCATGAGGCATCTGCAAGACTGCAACTGCATTGGACGCCAAGACACCAACAGGAACAGGATCACCTTGTGTCAGTGTCACAGAACTTGTTACATTTCTTGAGTCAAACAGTACAACTGAACTGAGTTGCTGCATGAACATCTTATGGTTCCATCATAGCATGTACAGTACTTATAATAATAGATAGAGCAGAGAACCATCTTGGCAATGATTTGGCGACCTGGGTTAGGTGTCCTTTTTTGCCGCCACGCTCACTCAAGTTCACCGCCTCCTTGTAGCTGCCACAGCTAATCCTTCGGCGGCGCTGCTGCTGCTACAATGATCTGCGGAGAGAGGATGCAGCTGCAGCAGCTTTAGCTGAAGCGAACACTTCCAAACAGGGTATGGAGTTGCACAAAGTCAAATTGTTCCATGTCTGCACACACAGAAGCACAACAGAGACACGGTCACAAATTCACAATGCCACACATGAAAGATACATGCAAAATTGAAACCTAAATCGGAGTAAAAATATGTACGGCAAAAAACAGAGTAAGAGAACATGGAGATAACAGTGGGTTGAAAATAAACTTCTATCCAGAGTTTGGAAGACCTGTATGGCAGACAGCATAAAACTCAGAAAGCACAAAATCCCTTAAGGACAAGCAAGCTAGCCTTCAATCAATGCATTGCTCTCTAAGTAGATTCCAAATGCTTTGAAAGAACAAAATCTTTTTATATAGCTTAAGTTCTAGGTATAACCACTGAAGGTTACATTTATTTTCTTTCAATTCAACTTATTCTCCAAGTGCTCAGCAAGAATCAAACTTTGCCCTGTTAAACTTCACTGAAAAGCCAGGCTGAAAAGTACTATTCGCTGATTTATTGTGAGAGAAAAACACTGTACCATGACTGATAAGCCGGGCTGATAAGTTCAAGCTAAAGGTGGCAGGTGTAAACCTTCAACTTTCCAGGTGATCGGTACGTTGTTCATCATGTACACAAAACCAAATGGAACATTTAATACAAAATTGTTTTCTCAAATTAGTGACCCCACTAAAAAACCTCTCAAGACTGTTCCTGTCTAGCACAATGACCATCCATATCCTGGAAGTCTTACCTTTGGCTAAACACCAATTGATATTCTGGCTTTGGGAAATCAAATATACCAAATGACTTACAGTGGCTGTGAGGGAAAAATGTTCTGGACAGAGGTACATAGCTCATCTAATGATATTTGGATCCTTGAAAGAAATGAGGCACAGCTGAAAATTTGGGTAGGTTGTTATGAAGGAAATTGAATTGTGTCAATATGGATTTATTGAGCACAGAACTCTTTGAGTGTATATAAAAAAGATTACTTCATGGAATATATGTGGTATCTGTGTTAAAGATGTGTAGTGGGCATGACATGATGCGACATTTTAAACAAAATCCCATAAAAAGGAATAGACTTGCACTGATCAACTTGAAAATAATCTCTGGATCCGAATAGATGGAAAAGGTCGCAACACAAAAGCCAGTTGTATACTCCACAGCCCCAGTGAGCTAACTAACAACAACAAAGGCTTCCATGAAGATTGCTGACAAGAAAATGTTCCAAGTTTGAAGTCAAAAGATCTCACCAGTCCTTAAGAGCATGTTAAATTCCAATCCATTTCCTCTGCCAGTTCTCCAGGCAACACTGACCAGGGACAAATGGAATTACAAGAGCGGAAGAGCCATTAACAACACTGTCTTCCATTGCCTCCTACTGCACATAAGCATCATCTGTGTCATCATCTCCTTCTGAATCCTCACTGTGCCATTCCTCCTCAAGCTGATCCTCAATCTCTGCTTTTGCATCCTTGCAACCTGCATCCTCCCTGAATTTCTGCAGTGCCTCTCTCTTCCTATTCAAGTCCTCTAAATACTGCTTATGCCCCTCTTCCATGATTGCCACAAATCTCTCCTTCAGCTCAAGCATTGGGTCTCTATCCACAAGCACCCCGTTCTGATCATAGGCTTCCCTCAATACTGCTGTCTTGATGCCACCCTTAAGTGATACATAGAAGATGCCTGGGTGCCTTGTGAATGCATTAGCAAATTCATTGGGCAGCCTATACTCAGCACAGAATTTCCCAATAATTGGCACCGCCATCCTTCGCTGTACTGTCAGGGACAACACCTCATGTAAAACGCCAATGGTTCGCTTCTCGCTTCTCAGCCTCCGGAGATGCCGGATGCAGCCCGGATGCATCTGCATAAGATGAGATATATGGCAACTCAAGCCAATCCCTCACCCACTCCCTCATTTTCTTCTTGAGGTAGAACCCCTTCGGCAATTTAACAGTGAAGTTTGGCCTCGGCCTAATTCCGACGACATCGGCCTCCTTGTCAGCCTGACCTTCGATCATCGACTTGGCCAGTCTATCGTCCCAAGCAACCAACTCGAGGAACGCGTTCCCGGACGCGTCAGGCCCGGGGTCACCGACGAGGCGGAAGAGGCCGGGGTACCTCGGGACCAGCGAGACCAGGAAGTCGTCGGGGATGCCGAAGTCGCGCTTAGGGGCGTCTATCTTGGTGACGGGCAGAGCACGCGTGGAGGAGATCATGATGAGCTTGGCGAGCCTGGAGGCGAGGAGCGGGGCGTGCAGCTCGTAGAGGCGGGAGGCGAAGTCGGGGAAAGCGAGGAGGTGCGGGGAGGGCGAGGCGACGGGCTCCGGGGGAGCGGAGACGGCGAGGAGGGTGGGGTAGCGCCTGAGGAACGTGGGGACGCGGACGGGGAGCTTGAGGGCGCTCGCGGCGCTTGGTGAGATAGCGGAAGAGGAGGCGGCGGCCCGGGGAGAGGAGCACCTCGCGGACGAGGAGGGACGCTTGGCGGAAGCGGCGGTCCCGGGCGATGGCGGCGTCGAGGGCGGGGTCGCGCTTCCACGGGACCTTTTAGCGAGGATATGCACCGGGCGGCGGAGAGCCGGACCGGGACCAGGACCAAGCGGCTGGCGGCGCGCGCCGCCGCCGCCGCGGCGACTGCCGGGAGAAGCATTCGGCGAGGCAGCCGAAGGTGGAGGAATCTGGAGAGGAGATGACAGCAAAGCCCGACAGTGAGTGGGAGCGGCACAGGCGTATAGGCCGCAGGCAAGCGGCAACGCCGCGCCGCCTCCACGCCGTCCGCGTGCGGCGGCCGCTCCACTCCCCAGTCCCTAGCCGCCTTCCTCGTCGGCTCCTCCCGTGTGAGTGTGAGCTGTGACCGAAGAGTGAGGACCATAGAGCAGAGAGAGCCCAGAAACAAGACGATGGGCTTTACCGCTTGACTCCTTCATGCCGTGCCCAAGTTGCAGCCCAAGCACACACGTAACACCGGCCCGGGCCAAATTCACTCGTGCCGACCTAGTCGGACATCTATGATCTATGGGTATTAAGAGTTCGTATGTTTTAAGACTGATGACGATGAGGCGTAGGTGTAGCACATCGGGCGGGAGTTCGTGCACAATGCGACGTTGGATCTGTCTGCAAGAGAGAAATCGAGGTGAACCAAGGAGGCAATCCCAACACAAGCGAAGGCAATGGCGTCAGTAAAACAACGAAGGCAATGGCGGCGTCTTGTTCACCCTGCCTCTTCGACGTGCTAGCCAGGCTGCCGGTGAAGACCCTGTGCTAGCTCCGGTGAGTGTCCAAGGCATGGCGTGCCCTCATCTCGGATCCGGCCTCCATCGCAGCGCACGGACTTCACACTGCCGCGGCTCCCCTTGTCATGGGCGTGTTTGCAAGCCCGCGGCCGCGCCCGCTCGACGAGTCGTCCTACCCGCCGCGAGCACTAGACTCTTGGCGACGACGGTTTTCCGTCTCCGTGACGCGCGGTTGTGGTACGACGATGGTGTCATCCAAATATGCCAGGTTGCCACTCTTGGCGACGACGGAGATGGCATTGCCATGGAAACCGCTTGCACTTGGAGGCAAAGGCCAGAGCCCCCAATCCTTACTCGTCGATTGTCGGCTGAATGCACAGCAGCCGCCGGTGGTATTCTCCACTTCTTGGACATTGGAGCCCCTGTCCTTGGACGGCGTCCAGGACCACCACCTGGCTGGAACCGAGTAGCCTCTTTTGACCTAGAGAGCGATGAGTGGAAGGCAATGATCGATGGTCCGCCAGTTGGGTACCCTGACGAGGATGAGAGCTGGGATATCACTCTAGCGGCTCACGGTGGCTCCCTGTGCCTAGTGCAAAGCGTAGGGGGCCGTTGTAGCCGTTACACAAACATGTGGCTTCTTGTTGACTCCGAGAAGAGTTTGTGGTTAAAAGAGTATATGATACACATGCCTGAGTGTTGGCGGCTTTTCAGCGCGATGAATATCTTGGTTGACGGATGGATATTGATGCTAAACTCCTTCAAGAAAGAAGGGAAATTTAGGTGCATCATGCAACTCTACTGTCCTAGAACAGGTGATCACACGGATTTAATGGAGATGAGGGAGGACTTCAGATGGCATTGAGGATTTACACACGGAGTCTATTGTCTATCAAATGCTCACAGACAAAATTGAGCTGTGTTCATGCCATTTTTGAAGACAGATATTAATTATTGGACGGACTCGGTCCGTTGATCGCCTGTTGATCTGTTTCAGTCGTGCATGCTCGCCGCCCTATCTTAGCCGATTGCATTTGAAGATATCACGGAGTCTATTGGCGTGCTCCGGTTCAGAGGAATCAGTCAGGGACCTTGGGCCGAAGGCCCCTGTCTTACGTAGACCAAGTCCACGATATAAATCCCAAGCTACCAAAAGGGTGCACTACACTATCCAGTGGGCCATGTGCACCTGTCCGATCAACTACAACACACGGTCCTCCGCAGTCCGGTTAAAAAACCATACTCCACTCCCTTAAATAACAAAAAATGTGATTCACAATTTTCGAGAAATTAAAAGCTACTACTCCGTATTATTTTTATACAGTAAACCTAACATAAATACTGAGTTTAACTACTGAGTTTAACTTGATTTTCTCCTAGTTTTCTCCACGTGAACGAACTGTATTCATATAGGGAGTATATATGGTATATTAAAAAAAAATTGATACGTAACGCCGACCTCCCGACGCGACCGACGCCTTTCCTAGCTTTCCTTCCCTCTCCTTTCCGGCCTCGCCTCTCCGCCTTTCCCCAGAAGCGCGCCTCCCTCCACGAAGCAATCCTCCATTCCATTCCATTCCTTGGCCGCGTAACCCAATTACCCAACCCCATCGAGGAGCGCGCGAAGGAAACCGCCTTCCCATCCCACCGGGCGTCGGCCCGTCTGATCCGATCAGGCCAGATCCTTCCGGTGCCGGTGCCGGTCGTCGCGCCGCGCATGGCCGAAGGCGACGCGCCCGCCGCCGCCGCCGCCGCGGCGGCGGCGTCCCCGCGGTCGCCCATGCCGCCGGAGACGCCGGCGACGCAGAAGCGGAGGCAGCGGGGGCTCGTGTCCCGGGTGTGGAAGGGCATCTTCGGCGGCCGCGAGGACGTCGAGAAGCTGCTGCAGGCGCTGTCCAAGGAGGAGGAGGCCGTGCGGGCGCGCCTCCGCCGCCGGGCCCGCGCCTCCCGCCAGTCCGCGCACAACGTCCTCGCCCTCGCCGCCGCGCTCGAGGTGATTCGACTCGTGCCTGCTGGATTACCCGATTATACATAGCATAGCAAACGCTTCTGTTCAGTTTGCTGTATTCCTGTTCCTGCCCGATAGAGGATGGGAATTCCTTTCTCGTAGGGCGATGAATCCGGTTTGAATTGTGGAATCAGGAATCGTTTGGTCAGGATGATCCGCCTGCCGGGCCATCGTATTATGGTAGTCAGCAATATCCGTTGTTACAATTGAGCATCTGTTGTCATCTCACATCAGACGAGATGCATTACGTCAGTTTAGCTAGTAGAATTTGTACCAATACTGAATGGAATCGTGTTGGGATCACCTCATAAGTGCCACTTTGGATTTAGGGCCTTGGATCAGGACAAAATTGTGTTTTGAGATGGTTTCGTGTTATTCCCTTTTTATGACAGATTGTTGCAGTTGGATATGCCATCATGACTACGAGATCGCGGACATCAGCTGGCAGATGAGGGCAGTCAGGGTGCTGCCCATGTTCCTTGTTCCTGCTCTAGCTGCTCTCATCTACTCGGCCATTACAAGCCTCTCGAAAATGCGTAAGTATACTGACGTCTTGGTATGCACATTCTGTATTGCACATGCACACACATCGTTAGGCTCTACCTACACATTATGTTGACTGAAGGTGCACAAATGCAAGGCAGTACAAATGTGCGCATGTTTCCCATTAGTTTCCTAATGCATTTTATTTGATCAGTGAGCACAGAACAAATTTCCTGCCTAGTTTATTTTATTTGTATCCTGAAGAAATTGCTGTATGAAAAAGCCAAAGTTCCAAAATGTGTCCCTTTAGCATGAAGGTGTGACCATATAAATTGCTTCAGCTATTATAGATAATCCTTCATGTCTTATTAGTAACACACTATCCTATCTCCAGTTGATAACAGAGACCAACAAACTCTTGAAAAGCTTCGAACTGAAAGGCAAGCCAAGATTGATGAATTGAAGGAGAGAACAAATTACTACACTACTCAGCAACTTATACAGGTTCATTTACAGCCCTGTTTTATTGTTCATTTTTCTTTTTTACATGCAACTGACTTGTCATGTTGGTGAACCAGAGATATGATCTTGACCCAGCTGCAAAGGCTGCAGCGGCAACAGTTTTGGCATCAAAGTTGGGCGCTGATTCTGGATTGAGAGTCTTTTTGGGAGATGAATCAAGCAGGGATGCAGCACTGGGTAAAAGTAATGATAATAATCTTGGACAAACTGGACTTAGGCAAAGAAAAGGACACTTAAGCAATGGTGCTGGAAGGGCCCAGTCCCTTGAGCCATTTGACAGCTCAAATGTGTATGATGGTAGTGAAGAAGGCCCCAGCACTCCTAATCAGAGGAATGTTGAGCACTTTAGAGGTCCAGCTGGTAATGATGGGGGATGGCTTGCACGAGTAGCAGCTTTGCTTGTAGGAGAGGATCCAACACAGTGCTACGCTCTAATTTGTGGTAACTGCCATATGCATAATGGTAGGTGACAAAGAACAGTTTATTATGTCAACTATATCATCTACAAGTTCTCTGTTAACTAGTTTCATTTTTTTTGAACGTAATTAACCAGTTTCATTTGTCCAGGTCTTGCGAGGAAAGAGGACTTTGCCTTCGTCACATACTACTGTCCTCACTGTAATGCCCTCAATGGATCCCGGCAACACGAGGACCATGAATTGGTACCTAATTCTGGCAAGGATAGTCCGGATTCTCAATCTGGTGGAATCATTGGCCAAGGTGGTGCAAGCCTTGCAACCTCAGGTGCTGTAAGTCCTGTTGCAAGCAGCCTACCAACCGTTGAAGAACTCTCTGCAGAAGAATCTGGGGAGAAGGCGAGCAGTGACCAACCTGCCAATTGAACTCTGACATTTCCTGTATATTACGTTTTTGTGAAGTATTGTTTTGGATTTGAGTCGTGGTGTCTGAATTTTTGTACCTACCATGTAGTATATAGAGTACCATGCTTCCTGCATGATTGTTGTCTAGCAACTGGTAGCACTTGGTGGTCTCATTGTGGCTTCGTCCCTAGGGCCTAGGGTACCAGGACAACGCCCATTTGCTGGCATCTTGTCGCGACAAATGGGCCTGAACGGTGATTGGATGTATTGTTCTTTGTTTATTGAGTGTATATATAGTCTTTGAAAGGCTTTCGACATCGTTTTCATATATATATATATATATATATTATATCATATAGCTCCTAGATTCCGCGTAACCAGAGCGTTTTGGTTCCAGTTTAGTCACGTGAGCTCGTGCGTGTGTGAGCGTCGATTTGGTTCCTGTTTAGCTACTGTTCACGAATCCTGAGCATCCACGTGGGCTCGTGCGTGTGTGGGCGTCGATTTGGGCTCTCCCGATTAATTACGGCCTTGCACCGGTTACCTCTCGCTCTCTCTGCCAAAAAAGAAAAAAGAAAAGAAATCACACGGCACTGTGCCTCGCCATCTCCGTCCGTATTGCGTCCTCCTCCTCTCCCCCCAGTGGCGCTTCTCTCCCCATTGGCTTGGCTAGCCTTGCCCTCGCCTTCGCCACCGTCCGCACTTCTTCCTCCTCCTCCTCCTCCCCCCAGCAGCTTTTTCTCATGCTTTCAATGGCCAGCTGCAGGCCCTGCCTCACGGTTCCCATGAACCAGGGACGGAGAAAGCGAGGCAAAGGACGGCGCGCGCTTGGGTCGTCGGCAACCATGGGGCACAGGCGACGGTAAGAGCCCGCTCTCATCGTCATCTCCTCCAGCAAGCATGGGCTCCCCAACTCTACCTCGCCGTCTTCCTAGCACTAAGGTTCACACCCCCTCCTCCTTCCCTGTCCGATCTTGATCTTCTTGGATAGAAACTATGTTTGGTTAGGTCTTGGCTACTTGCCTCCTTCGTGATTTCCAATTTTCCATGTTCGAAGAAAGATGCACGAAAAAACTCAAAACTAGAAAGTTCTCGAGGATGCAACATCCCCTATGATCTCCTAGGTGCATATCAAATCCCTTTTTTTTATGGAATCGCTCATTTGCTCTCCTCCTCCCCTCCATCCCTCCCTCACTCACTCAAATTTCCCCACACCCGTTATTCTACTATGAAAAGTCTCAACTATGGTTCTTGACTTGCCTCCACGTGATTTCAATTTTCATGTCCGTGCGAGAGTTCTCGATGCACATCCCCTATAGTGCAATCCCTTCCTCGCTCATTTGCTCTCCTCCTCCCTGTAGTTAAATTTCCCCACACCGAGTTATCTACTAGGGTCAGCGAGAGGATGCTGATATGGTCTATGCGATTAAGTTCAGATGTCGACTGATATGGTCCAACCACTGCCAATATGCAAATACGATACATGATGCCATTTTTTTATTTGATGCCCTCTCTCCCAGGCAGGCAGGTCCGCAGGTGGAGCATCGGTGGCAGCGTCCAAACCAATTCAGAGCCTGTTCGCTCGTCCATTTCAGCCGGGCTTATCAGCTATGATATAGTGTTTTCTTCTCACAACGAACTAGCACCAGCCGGACTTATCAGCCCAGAAACCAACCAGCGAACAGGCTAGAAAACACTAATCAATGATGGTTAGGTTGCTCCATACCAATTTGACTTCGATTATATGATTAAGTAATGAGAATGAGACATTAGTAGTGTTTTTAGAATTTAAGATACTCCTACCATTTTTTGCATTAAAGTATTTTTATGGTTGGATGCCAATGGTTCATAGAATCACCAGTAATTTTGTTTTCGCTGTTACATTACACGAAATTGATCTACGATTTTGATTCATTCTGTACTGTACTAGTCTTTTATCTATTTATAATATATATATTTAAGCAACAGGGAGAAACTCCTACTAATCCCTCAAAAAAAAACATTACACGAGTCGCTGCCCAGATCAGCTTATCTGCCTCTCTGTGTTCTGACTACGATGAGTGTATGATTCTGATTGTTTTTTAGTGTAAATAATTTTGTGCAAAATTGATTTACATGTACTCTGTCAAACATCTATAGGTAACTATTTCGCTCTACGATTTCTCTGAATTTTGTGTGGAGTAATTATTTGGCTCTACTATGGCTTCTCTTTATTTGATTCATCATCATCCTGTGAAACATCTCTAATGAGCCCACTTTGTACATATGCTAGAGTGCAATCAAGACTTTGCAAATTTACACTTCTCCATCTCTTTTTCCTGTCAGATTGTTTCATGTTCTCCGTTTTACCCTCTGTATGTATGGTTCTCATTGTGTTTTAGCATAAACAATATAGTACATAATTGATCTACAAATAATTATTTGGCTCCGGGATTCCTCTATTACATTCACCTTATTTGGTTCCGTGAGACATCTATGAGTGCATTATGTGAATTGCAATCAGCATTGAAACTTTTCTTTGGTTATCTATTTGTTGAGCAGAAAACTAAAACTGCTCTTTTGCAGAGGTGGATCTCCATTTTTTCTCATACCTCTTAGTCCTGTTTTTCGATGTTCAGCATTAGGATATATGCCATCAGCATGGGCCATAGTTCATGTTTCTGATTACCCGTCAAGATTTGGCATGCTGTGGACATGGTTATAATCCTACGTACACAAAGGTAAAATCGTTCCTTCTGTGTGGTGCATCTCATAAGTTATGCCCATTTTCAAGTGTTGTTTTACTTAGCTTATTTGAACTAAACGGGTACCACATCGATATAGACCTCCATTATTTCGATCAAATTGGTGAGTCAAAAGTTCATTGTCGAAGACCATGTGCATTTAAGCTTGAGGGGATAGATTCTTTGTTCATTTTGTACCAATATCTGTTGTGTGTCAATTATTTCCTTCTTTCTGTATGACTTAAGTTAGCTAGCCTAGCCACTTAGCCTACAATCAACAAATAAAATTTTGAAAGATTTTTCTCCCTGTGTCACCTAGGGACAGTGAAGCAAAATAGCTAGCACAGATAATCTTGGCACTACAACTGCATAATGGTCTGTGGACATGGATCATATCTTAGATGTTATGTAGGCTACACATGAACTGGATATAATTATCGCGCCAAGGTAAGTATCATGTGTGTTATCATAGACAGACAACCTTTGCACCTATGCCCTCAACTGAAAATGAATGATTGGCACTTAAACACAAAAATGGCTCTCTTTTTCTATTTGTGTCTTCTGATTCTTCCAAAATAAAATGCAGCAAGACCTGAATTACATGATATGAATTCAGAAATACAATGCATATCTCTATTTATATCTTATTTCATTTGATAATGATCTATGCTAAACTACAGGATGGAAATACCACTATCTAATATCATTTTTTCTTGCGTAGGATTACAGGTTCATATACATGGCGATAGGTACGACAAGAATATCTAAAATCATGATGTATAGTCAACAAAGATGATATTTCTTTTCTCTCAAAAAGGCACAAAGTCTTCCAGAATTGAAATGAATTGTGGATATATGTTAGAGGTAGGTGCAACTTCAATAGATGGTTTATGCAGCAACAACAGTACCAAACTAGGCTAAGATGAAGCCCTACAACGTACACTCTTTATCAATCACGTCAAGGCACTTAGTCCCATACTGTTATTAAGGTGTCAGTTGTAAAGGAGTAAGTTCTTCTGGTGATCAAAATTTTTACGTGCCTACAAAGTGATATATATATCCTATAATGCTAGGATTTTGATGTTTTCAGGATTTTGTATGTGACTGTCATGTTGTATCATACTTCATATACATGTTTGATACATATATGTTTGTCTATTCATACGAAATCAACTGTTAGACTTTCGGATCATTGATTATAGGATTTGAGGGTTCCTATATCTAATTCTCTTAGGTGCCACACTAGACCTCACCATGTGCGATGGTCTAAGTTTTAACGGACTAGCCCACTCTGACCTATATGCGTTTCATCAGCCTCAAAACATGAATATAATTAATCAGGCCAGCAGTACAAAAGCTGCTTATGTGTGCCTCCCACACAGGCAGGGCCATTAGCATGACAAAGCAATGCGGGCGCGGCGAAGCGCGCCTCTCTTCCTAGTTTTTATTATGACCAAGTTCTACGTTCATCGAAGCATGATGCATCAACTCACAAACTGCTGCTTTGTTCCTCTGTTATTTGTGTTGGGGCTTGCTGAAGCTTTGAATGTGTTGTTGACATTACGTCTAATGTTCTGTTTTATGTGCTTGTGTTGAAATTAATATTTGCCATATATTAACTCCTTCAGTCGTTTTTAGCTTTACAAGTCAAACTATGTAACTTTAACTAAGTTTCAAGAAACATGTATTAACACCTACAATATCAAATAAATGAAACAAACCTAGTATGATGTTGTTGTAGTTTTTTTTTTTTCTCTGTTTTTTAATAAACTAGGTCAAAACTAGAGAGTTTTTAGACAAAGTTAAAACGGCTTACAATTTGAAACAAAGGGAGTAAATTGCTGGTGTCAACTGTCAATGTTGGGGCGCAGCTATTCCATTGCATCTGAAGTGCTAATCCAATGCTTCTGAAGTGGTGAAAGAAAGAATGTAGAACATCTGGACAACACATGTTTGGGTTCCAGTGTCCAATTAGTCAGAAAATGGAGTCGCTCTACGCCTAGCAGTCTAGGACAGTGGTTATTGTACATAGTTACATATTGGGAGCAATGCAACCCTGTCCGGGGACAGAAAAAGAAAAGAAAAGAAGAAAAACATTCATGAGCAATCAGAGAAACAAAACATGGAACGCCTCCAGCCGTCCGATATTTACAGTCACTTGCGGAGTCCAGGATCAAGTGTCTGATACTCTGGTCTATATGCCGGATAATGCAAACAGAAACAGCAGCAAATAGCTTGCAGCTCTCGCACCTCAGCTGCAGACTTCTTCCAAATGCTTCAACAATTGGTGGCAGGCAG